TCCTGCTCCCTGGGAAATCTTGATGCTTCACATGCCTGCAATGAGTTAAAACACAAATGCAGATTTTACTGACACCAAGATGTGTTTGCTACTTTTGCCAGAGTTGGCTTTTCAGATTCAGTCTCTCTTGTAAAGCAGATTGGCCATCCTGCAGAAGGGAACAGTTTCTTGCAGAGCTCTGTCTGGTCYCCAGCCAGGCTGACGGGATGTTTGCAAAGGGAAGTTTCTGTGAGGGTGAGAGGAAGGAAAATGAAAACATTTCATGTCAGAAAAACTGTAAAAGAAGGAAAACCTCTGGAGGAGAGTCTTGATTTGAGAAAAGGAAATTAGGGATACAAGAACCRGACAGTATTATAATTTCTTCAAGGGAGAACTTCACTTCGTGTSATCTCAAAGATTTCACAGCAGCTTTCCAAGGAAAACCCAGGTACCTCTGGAAATTATGCCAGTGGTTTAGTGCTCCTGTGGGCAAGCTCAGGCAGATTTACTGCTGTGATTTCCAACATGGCTGTCCCAGATGATTGCATTTGCTGGCTGGAAATTACTGCCTTAGAGGAGGATGTGGCATGTGCTAGCATCTCAGGGCTCAGGTTTGCAGGCAAGAGAAGAAAACTGCTTTCAGTTTTCAGCTGKTTTTTGGGCTGACACTCATGGACGATGTCTTGAGACAGCTGTGGAACCCCGAGACAGGGCAGGGCAAGGCTCAACAGCACCCATGGGGGTCAGAGCTGGGACACCTGGCTGTGATTTTTGCCATATTTTAAAGTGGGTTTCAGCTCTTTGCATGCACACACATAATTCCCTGCTCATGATTTAAGGATCCCTTTCACAGCTGGTGAAGGCTGACTCTAAAGTTCCAATTAGTGTTCTCCCAGAACAGAGATCTAAAATAAGTGAGACGAATCATGGTTTGAAAATGTCTATATTTCTTCATTAGCACTAAGGAAAAATAGGATTTCTGTCCCAGATTCTGAAATTAAATTAAACAAATCTTATGTTTTGTGTCCACTCTTCCAAACATTTTCTGTAATTCTGTGGTTTACATCCTCAGAAACCAATGATGARTTTTCATGCCAAGACAGATTTACCAGCAGTGCATTTTAACTTGCTAATAATAATGAAATAGTAATAAAATTTATCTGCACAATATAAAAAACTGATTAGCAAGTGGAAGAAAAAAAGAACCAAGATAGTAGAACATTCCATTGAATTACTTACACAAAAAATTACATTTTTGAAGGAGGAAAAAGAAAGCAATTCCTATTGTAAGACATGCTGTAAACAGAAAAAGTAATATTAAATGTTGTAGATTCCACTTTACTGTGCACTTTTATCCACCAAGGATGGCTGCACTTGGATAATAAAGTAATTTCTGTAGCTAGGCCTGTTTATGTAGAACTTGGGTGTGTATTTGCTATATAAATGGAAAATAGTATTGTAATGCTTGAAAGCTCTGGTGTGTTTCTGTGTTGTGTAAGCTGTTTCTAATCTGTATTTGAAGTTCTGTGCTGTTTATCTTGAGATCCAGGCTGATGTTAGAACATGTTCCCTTTTTACTGGAGAATTTTCTGCTTGCTTCCAAAAAAGATCAKCAACAAAGGAGGTGAAATGACTCAAAGCCTTCTTGTGTATTCCAGCTCTCAGCAAGGCTGAGAACACCCTACAGGAATCCCCTGGTTCTGGGATGTGTTGCTGTTTGGGSAGTTTGATTTAGCTCGAGATGCTGCTCACATCAAAATGATGCTTAAGAAGTGAGTGGCTCTAGATGGTAAAACAATGTTGTGGTGAGTGATGGCATTTGCCACATTTGGCCAAAGGCAGCACCCTTTCTCTGCCTGGCTGAACTGCCAGCTGGAGCAAGAGCTCCAGAGATCAGTTATGGCCATCAAACTCCTGATCTGTGTGTTTTCTAGCTCCTCTCTGCTGTAATCTGGCTGTAACTCAGCCTAAGGGCATCTCAGATGTAACTCAGAGGAGCACAGCTGTCATCACAGGCTGGATGGGTTGGAAGGGACCTTAAAATTCATCAAGTTCCAAGCCTGGATGCCACTCACTCAATCAGTTGTTCAGATCCCATTCAATCTGGCCTTGAACACTTCCAGGGATGGGGCACCCACAGCCTCCCAGGGCAACTTTTCCAGGGCCTCACCAGTCTCCAAGCAAAGAATTTCTTCCCAACACCTAATCTAAATCTGCCCTCTTTCAGTCTAACACTACTGACATTTGGTTTGTCTCTCTCTTTCTGCCCATACAAAAAGTTCCTCTCTCCTTTTCAKAAGCACCTTTAAGGTACTGGAAGGTCACAGTAAGGCCTTCCCACAGCCTCCTCTTCTCCAGGCTGACCAACCCCAGCTCTCTCAGCCTGTCTTCATAGGAGAGTTGTTCCAGCTCTCTGACCATCTTTGTGGTCCTTTGGACCTGCTCTAACAAGTCCATGTTTTTCCGGTGCTGAGGACCCCACAGCTGCATTCAGCACTCCTGGTGGGGTCTCATGAGGACAGAGTTGAGGGGCACAATCCCCTTTCTCAACCTGCCACTCTGCTTTTGTTCACACTGAGGGTGCCATGAGCCTTCTGCGCTGCAAGCACGCCCTGTTGGCTCATGTCCAGCATCCATTAGAATTCCCAAACCCTTCTCTGCAGGGCTGCTCTCCATGGCTTCTCCCAGTCTGTGCTCRTGTCTGAGATTGYCCTGACTCAGGTGMAGYCCCTTGCACTTGGACTTGTTGAACTCCATGAGGTTCCTGCAGGCCCACTCAAGTTTGTCCAGGTCCCCCTTGATTGCCTCTGTCCTCAAGGAGTGTCAACTGCACCCTTCAACTTTCTGTCATCTGCAAACCTCCTGAGGCACTTGATCTCACTGGGCATTACTGCATTTATCTGCCTGGTAATTGGAGAAGATGACAATACAGCTCTGTTTTTGGATACATATGCTGGTTAGTTTTGGTGGTGGAATTGTTGTCATGGTTGTTAGTTAATGCCAGATCTGCTGTGGACATGATCATACATAAGATGTGGCAACTTGTCCTCTAAACTCAAGCAACACTAAAAGAGAAAAGTTGTTATTCCATTCCTTTCACATATTAATCCTCAAAACCAATCCCTACACCACTTTCTCTGTTAACACATTTTCTCCACAACAGTTTTAGTGTGGAGATGGCTGAGGTAAAAATGTAATTTCCAAGCAGATCAAGGTGTCAGCTTGCATCCAGCGTGGAAGAGCAAACCTAGGAGCCAAGATGCATTCAGCAAGGAGAGATATGGAAAAGGCTGGCCTGTCCTCACCTGTGCCCAGGCTGCTGTCACAGATTCCCTGCTGGCAAGATTTGTGGGTGACATTCAACTGCTGTTTGCATCTTTCAGCATAAATGATTGTTTTTAAAGATAGGGACAAAGAAACCCTAAATACGATTCCAGATCTCTTGCACGTGTTACAAAGAGAAATAAAATTGAAACTCAGCTCAGCAGAGTTGGGATGAGAACCATATCCCACCATTAACAACTTTAAATACACAAACACACAAACACAAATCTTGCTCTAGTAACTATACAGGAAAAAAAAGAAAAAAAATTACATGGTTTAGAATTTGCATGGAAGTTCTGCCTACTTGCACTTGTACACAAATGGGCAAATATGGAGTTAAAGAAAAAGATTTTGTGCTTGTAAATTATACTAAATTGGGAAGGGAAACAGTGCAAATAGAGATGA